AGGGATCAGCCCTTTCCAGAACAGAAGTTCATGCAAGCACCGGTTATGATGTGTTTGGTGATATGGATGATATGCTACTGGATAGTATAGAAAAAGAAAATAAGCTAAAATCTTGTCATATTGTCAAGTCCTATCCAATCATGTATAATACAGTGTATAACACGCCATAATTGTCTATATATACCAAGGAAGCAAACCACCCTAAAGCATGAATTTCACGCCTCCATTTTTTTCAGGAACAATTTCAATAAAACTATCTTCGGTACCAAAAACCAATAGGAAGATGAAAAATTTCACTAAGAATCACAGTTACCAATAAATATATGAAAACAGAAAGTAGCACAAGATGAGGGGACATTGAAATGAAGAGAGAAGAAAAAGAGACTGGACTTCCAGTTCTTTCTTTTTATCCTCCAAACTGAGAAATTTTATTGGAAAACAAAATTACTAAATCGAGCAAAGAATTGAAGAAAATGAAAATAATAGGTAAATAAGTGCAGCTTCAATAATAAGTGATAACAAGAAAATCAACTCAAAATTCTTTGATTCGTTCTTATTATACACAAGGCTTTATATATAGATCAAATACAAAAGAACAGTATGAGTAATATACTACTTCGACAAGGTTTCGCCGTCCTCTTGAAAAGCAGAATAGCTAGACCTCAAAACTCTTGCAAAATATCTTGACAAACTGTAATATTACCTATCATTATTTTGACAAAATACTATTTCTACTAAAACCTTTGAGTGCAAAAACGGCACAAACATGGCCATGCTGAGCAATTGTAGGATTGGGATGGGGTCAGCAGTACCAATATGAGAGTTTAGTGATTTCTGGTCAGGACACTACAGATCAGAGAATAATCAAGTTATATTATTTGATACACAGCTCAAGAAACTAGAAATTGATGATGGAGATATTCATGCTCGAAAGTTGCACAATCCATCTTCAGGCAAGCTTTCAAAGGTGGTTTTGGTATGAATTGCTCAGAAAAGAAAGAATAAGAACAAGGATTAAACTTGAATGGATATGAAAGTATTTATGGACCAAAATTCTAAACTGTTCAGGGGCTGATTTCTTTATTTGGTAAGTAGGAGCTGATAACTGTTTATGTTGTTAGTTGTAACAAAAATTACCTAAATATTTATAGACTTCTAAGAATAAACCAATGTTTAAAAAAGTGTAATTATGTATTGAGGCATTTTTCCTTCTTGAGGGGAGGCATAAGCTTGGAGGCATTTTGAGAAGGAAGCCCCTCAAACCCAAAAAATTGCCAAAAATTTATTAAAATGTAAAACAAGAGCATAATAAATCATAAACTCTATTCAAAATTAATAATAAAACAATTTAAAGTGTGCAAACAAATAAAAGAAGATTCTAGCAAAAACAGAAATTATTTTTTAGTTGGTGGGACAGTGAACTATTCACAAAGTGAGTACATGAAAAACACAATATTTTAATGTTTTAGTAATGGCTGATTTCCAAAGTGAGTTTTTAAAAAAATAATAACTTTTTAATATTTTAGTAATAGCTAGTGGTGTAGAGGATTATTTCCTAAGTGGGCAATCAAGAAATTCTAATGTTTCGTGAAGCCATTCCTAAAGCAAACTAAATAACCCTGGAGAAGTAAGGAGCAAATGCATCACAAGCCTTGATGCATGTGCCTCATTCAATTGAGGAGTTCACCTCAATAAAATTTGTCGCAATCAGCGCATTGAGGCGTTTTCCAATCTGAATTTTTTTTACCAATAGGATTCAAACCTTAAAAAGTTAAAACTACTAACTAATTATTTCCAAAAATATATCCCGGATCATTTAGGACTTCAAATAAAACTAAAAATGACAAATGACAATCTTTAATTATAACACAAGGGCCAAAAATTATTTCAAATTAGAAATTAACCAAAATTCCTTGACTCTGAACTTAAAGAGGTAACAAAACATAAGGGGGAACATGGTAAAATCATCATAGTCACTTTTCTTTTTACCAAAAAGGCTTGTTCCTATCAAAGGATTCACAATCTTTGCTTCTACCGTTCTTTGCAAGTGAGGCTTAATAACTTCAAGAAAGTCAGATGAGTGGACCAACTACAGGCATCTGAAGTTTTAATAAATAAATAAATAAGACAAAAACTGCTTCTAAAACTAAGTTTAGTTGGAATTACATTTCATTGTCAATATCAAATGCCACTGCATGCATTGGTGATCGAGTAGAAGCCATGATTAGGTCTTGCACAGGGCAATGGACTTATTCCTTGCAATCATATTATCTTTTCACGGTGAAGTGAAAAGCCAAACAAAGGAAACTACAACTGGAACCTAGCCTAGATCCTTAAGTTCCTAACTGAAGTGGGCCAAATCTTTCTAAAGGAAATAATTGATGGGCCTTTAGGAAGTACCAAAGAAAAACTTTAGTTTCCAATGAAGTAACTTAACTATCTTTAATTAATTTTATTAAAAAAGTTGATACCTGGAAACCATATTTGTAGTTCAATGGGGGCAGTGCACCAGGCCAAGTCACTGTTATTGCTTCTTGGTTACATAACATACTAGAAATAAAGGGATGATAATTTGATGTATTTTGCAGAATACACAATATAGTTGCTTGTTTTCCCAGTATTAATGATACCTTACAAAAGATTGCTTTTAAAAATACATTCTTAACAGTACAACCATTGTAGCCAAAAACCTCTAGTCATGGTTGTCCATATAGATAACATGAATAAGGAAAACGTGCCCCCCCCCCCCCCCCCCCCCCCCCCCCNNCCCCCCGGTCTGACCTTTTATAGTGAGCCCTATGTTTGTTCATGTTTATGCCACAAGGAAATATCTATACCATCTGCATACAGTGCACATCTGTTGTGTCTGGTTAAAAAATTACTTCCAAATATTTCACACCCTTGACCAGATGAAAAATTGCAGTGCTACTAAATGACCTGAGGTCCTGAACATTACACACTAAGCATATGGAAGCACTGCATGTCCGGAAGAACATGGAAAACATTCAGATTAAAATGAAATCGATGCATTGTATAGTTCAACTGAGTTCAACATTGAAGCAATTATTCATAGATTAATTTTTACAGCTAAATCAATCCTTCTGAATATAACGTGGTATATAAATCAATAATTGCAGTGGAAGAAAATTAATGATTTTGACATTACAATTCCTCATTTTAATTGGATTTTTGTTCTCGTTGATTCAACCTGATCATCCATTCCTCATTCTAGATTCAGGTTTTAAAGATACCTCTTCAATTCAACAAAATAAAAGCTAGGATAGCTTTAAAAAAAAAAAACCTAAACTGCAAAGACAATGATAATTCATCCGAAAGGAAAAATTACATCAATAACATCGTAACAAAGACATAATTTACACAGCTGAATCATGAAAAAGAAAGCTAATAAATGTAGAAAAAAGATTAGGGAGAATCCTTGACTTACTTTTTGTAGGACTCGCTGATGTACTGCGAACTGTTGTAGAGAATAAACCACATCAACACAAGTACCAGTATATCTTGATAAACATTAAGGAACAAATACTTCAAATTCAACGAAACATTTTGCACACGCATCTAAAGTATTGCATCAAATCAAATAAAAAATACCCATCAATTCATCCATCAATACAACACACATCTACCGAGCGCGCACACAGATAGGAAAAAAATCAAACCACAATCAAACGAGAAATTTACAAAAAATAAATAAAATAAAATAATAATAATAATAATAAAATTAATAATAATTGGATACTGAAGAGGTAACGCTCCCACCAATCCAGCATATAGAGACCAAAAGTTACGTTGTAAAGATAGATCTTGCGTTGAATCCAGTTCATTTTGTTAGAGACCAGAAACTTTTCTCAGTATAATAGATGAAGAATTTATGACCAGTCTTATGAAATCTCCTTTTACTAGTTTTTCCCGAGGAAATACACGTAAATGACCCATGTACTGTAGCAGGTAGCAAATTTTAATATTGACATTTGACCCATTAAATGAATTAAAAAAATTAAGTTAAAACACATTAAAATGGCGATTTTACCCTTCAAAATTAAAGACTGTTTAAAAGTTTTCTTTCTAATCGATCGATCCAAAAAAAAAATCAAAGCCACAATTGTCCAAAAAACTGATTGATCAACTACCGGCCGAAACCACCAACGTCATAGTGATTTCAATCGACGACTAGAAGCACGTATCTACCACCAGGTGAACTATTCCGATTAGTTTTCTCGTAGGAAGTTGTATTTTTTGTTTCAGTTTTCATTAATTGAATTATTTTACGTTTATTCGGTTTAATTAGATGAAAATGCATGAGTAGTTAAATTGTGGGTCATGCTGGAGTGAAAAATGTTAATTTTTTGTAATTTTTGGACCTCTCCATCGTCGACAATGACGATTTCCGACGAGAGGGATAGTAAAAGACGGTGACTGTTAACAGTCGGTCAATCGGACTATTAACATTCCGCCCATTGATTGTTAACAGTCATGGATCGACTGTTAACAGTCCGTCCAAACAATTAACAGTTATGGGCCAATCGTTAACCGTCAATGGACCGACTATTAACAGTCGTTCCACACTATTAACAATCCGCAATTTTGTTAATATATATATATATATATATATATAATTTTTATTTTTTTATCAATTTTTATAATTAATTAATTTTTTATTTGATTAAATAGTAATTATGTTATTTATTTATTTAATTTTTATAATTGTGTTTTATTTATATAATTTAATAATTGAATATTATCTAAAATTAAAAATTTATTTTGTTCCTTTTATTTTTGTTTTTATAAAATAATCTTTGATTTTTTTTTCAAATTTATTTAAATAATATAAATATTTTTTAAATTTTTTTAAAATGTATTTAATTTGAAATTTTTTGTTTGTAAATATCTTTTCCAAATGATTACAAGATTAATTTTCTTTATAATTAATTTATTTTAATTTGATTAAATAATAATTATGTTATCTTTTTTATAATTGTCTTTTTTATATAATTTAATAATTTAATAGATAATATTGTCCGAAATTAATAATTTATTTTGTTCCTTTTATTTTTCTTTTATGAAATAATTTTTGATATTTTTTTAATTTATTTAAATAATATTTATATTCTTTAATTTTTTTAAAAATGTATTTAATTTGAATTTTTTTTTGTAAATATATTTTCCAAATGTAATATACAAGATTAACTTTCTTTATAACTAATTTATTTTAATTTTTAAATTTGTATTGAATTTATTTTGTTATTAGCGTCAATGTCTTGCGTATTGTATGGTAGTCGGTTGCCTTAATTTTTTGAGATTATGCGTTATTTTATTATCTCTTGTTCAATATTCTAACATTTGAATTTTTGCACGATGGAATATCATTTAGATGGGGAGTTGAGATGGATGGCAGGGACAGTTACGTGGAACGGTAGTTTTGAGAGTTTTACTGTTGTGTTGGAGCTGCTCGAAGATTATCACGGAAATATACTACGACAGTCCTTCTTGTGGCCACTGTACTAGATGCGAGAGATGCAGTACTTAGGACATATCATCGATGCACTTTTATGTCGACTTCTGAGGTCAGTCGACGGCGATTCCCTCCACTTCGACCTCAAAGGCAAGGTCGTCAGCTTTTCGATGTATGAGTTTAGCTTGATCACTGGATTGAGGATTACAGGCGACGATGCAGCCATTGAAAGAAGCAATAGGTTGTATGAGACGTACTTCCAGGGACATGGGTCGGTGCTTCCACCCGAGTTGATGGTCGCGATCAGGGAGTGCGACTAGATGCTAGATAGATTGAACCTTGGGCTGATCTACATCTTCAAGAGTGTGATAAAATGTCATCACAAAAAGACTGACATCGACATTTTTCATTTGCAAGTTGTTGACAACATCGATGCGTTCAACAACTATCCATGGGGCCGGAGTTGCTACGAAGACCTGTACATGTCTTCACCAGATCACACTCAAGGCACAGGGGGTCAATGTGTAAATACGATACATATGGATTACCCTTAGCGATGCAGGTAAATATTTAATATAATTAAAGTTAAAGTTTTAGTATATTACATTTATGCATAATAAGTGTATGTGTTGCAGATTTGGATGTATGAGACAGTCCCTGTATTGAGAGCCCGCTTTGCTAAACGAAGGGAGACAAGATGCCATCGGATGCATCATTGGAGATCATCGCGACGGATGTCCCACTGGGAAACAGTTATCGGCCGTCCTCGACGATCCTCAGTAAGTATTGTGCATTTGTAATTTATATTATACGTAGTTTAAAATATGTTTACATGATCGTTAACTAGTTGAAATGTCAGCTTGAAGTCATACTTGAGTTGACGCCGTCGATGGAAGAGGAGGTTCGGGGTCTTGTGCAAGATTTAGGCGTTCTGCACACCCAAAACGAGGAGATGTCTGATCCGAGATTGGATATGTAAATTAAATATAATTTATTGAATATCGTCGACATATAAATTTATTGAATAATTTTTAATGTTATTTATGTAGGAGGGCGGTCCAGCTGAACGACGATCACCTTCGTCAAGGGTATAGCCGTCACCATTGGCATAATCTCCGTCGAGAGTATTGTCGTCGCCATTGGCATCACCTCCGTCGAGGGCATCGCCGCCGCCATTAGCATTGCCACCGTCGAAGGTATCTCCTTCTCCTTCGTCCAGACACCTTCCTTGTATATCTCCGGCACAGAGTGATGATTTGTATGCCCCGTCTGACTGGATTTATAGCGGAGGTAGTCAACGGGCTACGACGAGAGTTGACGGAGAGGGTCGATAATCTGGGACGAGAGTTGACAGGAAGGGTCGATGATCTAATAGAAAAGGTCGACTATCTGACAGGGAGGATCAACGATATGGGACGAGAGTTGACAGGGAGGGTTAACGATGTATCCCATAATGTTGGAATGCTATGAACTTGCGTTGTCAACCTTCAGGATACGATAGCGGCACTTAGAAGAGATTTAGCCGGTAGGCGATGGGGGGACAGAGGGAATGGCGGAGATGATGATCGAGAGGGGGGTCACCCACATTTTTGGCATGATGAAACATTAGAATCATTGTGGTTGTCCATGGAGGCAGAGGGGGTGGCCCTGATGGGGATGGGAGAGGGGACGACGGAGGGGATGGCTCCGATGGGAGGGGCGGAGGAAGTGGTGACGTAGGGGGAGGCCCCCATGGTAGGGGCAGAGGTGGCCCCGGAGGTCGAGAAGACGCTAGTCGTGATTGAGGTTAAGAGACATGTTGTTGATGAGATGGAGCAGGTGGTCGGCAAGAAGTTGAGAGTGTCGTCACAGTATGTTGTTTCCCCCTTCACGGTTGAGGCCAAGAGGAGGACATTCATCGATGGAACACACTTGAACTTATTCAGGAAGGTGGACAAAGCCAAGTGGAAAGCATTCGAAATGGAGTGGAGGAGAATTATCCCCGAGTAAGTATTGTATGATTTTAATAAAGCACTGTACGCTAACTCGTCTATGCTTATTTTAACATTTTCCTGTTTTTTCAGAGTTAGCCACACGATAGGTAACCGGACGGTCTCGAACCCTTACAAGTGCTTCCACGATATCACCACCTCGGGAGCTTGGCTCGCCGACGATGTAAGTGAACTATTCATTTCGTATTTTTTATGTATACGTCACTTTGTATTTATTAAATGAATAACTCATACTTTTTTGGTGTTTCCTGATGCAGCACATCGACCTGGCCATGGACTTGCTGCGAGATCTAGCTCAAAGACATCCAAAATCATTTGACATCCATGGTCGAGTCATATTAAACATCAAGTTCTTGCGTGCTGTTATCATAGAGTATCAATCGCTCCAACTTATGGGTAACGAGTACATCGTGCCAGAATATATGCTCGAGTGGGTCATAGAAATGTCAAGTGTTGGGGGAAAATCATAGGAGGGTTGTACACATATGTACATTCCAGCGTGCATCAATAAGCACTATGTTAAGCTGGAGATCGTTTTTGCTGACACGACTATATATGTGTACGACCCAAATCATTCATGTTTGATACAAGGCCAGCTGGAGCAAAACCTGGAGTCTATAGCTGTAATTGTTCCTATGATGGCCGGACGAGCGGGGATGACTGTACAAGACAGATTACGGATTGTTTGGAACACGACGACAGCGCGACAGTCCATAAGGTAAGTATTTGAACTTTGTTGTTTTCATCTTTCAGATTTAGTTTTTAGCTACACAGTCTTGAACTAATCCATTCTTATTCAATTGTAGCGGCAACTGCGACATATTTGCCATTAAGTATGTTGAATTTTTAAGTATAGGACATAAGGTTGATAGAATCAACCAATCGTGGATACAGAACTGGAGAAAGAAGCTTGCTTGTGATTTGTTCGAATTTAATGGTGACCCGTAAATTTGTATTAAATATATGTAACATTCGAATTGTAAATTTAATTATTTTTTGTGATTATGAAATAATTGTAAATTTTTGTTCAATGTATATAACATTCACATTGGAAATTTAATTTTTTTTTTTGTAAGTTGATTTTTTGTTATTTTACACATATGCCGAGTATGGAACTATTTTTTTTCATATGAATCATTATAAATATCATTTATCAAGAATAAAAATTGAACATTGAACATTTATGAAGAACAAATATTGAACAGTGTAAAGTAAACGAAAATATTATTCATTTAAAGTACATGTTTAATTATCATTTAGGGGAATTTGACTAGTACAAAATTGTCAAGTATGCCCTATGGCTCTGCACCTGCCACACCTACGTGGTCGAGGGAACTCTCCGATAGATGGTATTCTAGATTTACTTGGATGTCCAGGACCACGCGGTTTAACTGCTGGTGGCAACAAATTATGAAACTGGAGAATGTGCTCGGGAACTTCCCACTCGGCTTCATTCGGCAGAGGAAATATAGTCT